GGTTTACTGGCCTGTACAAAGGGCAGTTGCAGCTGAGCTCTGTTTCAAAACTCCATGCACCGCCTTGCCTGAGTGAGCACTTCCTTCCTGCTTTCCTCCGGCTGTCTAGAGGAGAGGATTCCTGTCCTTGACCTCTCCCTGCGCTACCCCAAGAAAACTAGAATGTCTGGGAAGCCCAGAGGACAGTCTGCCACAGCACTGAGCTATCACAGTGCTGTGTGACTTGAGCAGAACTCATCATCCACCAGAGCTGCTCTGCAGTAAAATGGGGAAAGCACACCTTCCCTCACAGTAGAAGTACACAGAACCGACCCCGAGTCTAGAAAATCAGAACATGCAGCTCCATAGCTGTATGTAGTTGTTGTTGTTGTCGTCGTCGTCTTGGGTCTTGAACTCAGGGCCTAAGTTCAAGGCTGGCACTCTACCACTTGAGCCATAACACCACTTCTGGTTTTTTTGCTGGTTAATTGGAGATAAAGGTCTTATGGACTTCCCTGCCTAGACTAGCTCTATGATCCTCATATCCAACTTCTTGAGTAACTAGAGTTACAGGCATGAGGCACTGGTGCTAGCTAGCTGTGTATTTTGTTGTTGTTGTTATAAAGAGGATGTACAGAGGGGTAGCTGTGTATTCTTGAAATGAGCATCTTCTGCACAGAACAATCTTTCTCCCTTCTTGCAGACCCACATGGTCCATCTCCATCTCTCCCATCCCACTTTTCCAAAGATATAACTCTGGGCCAACTTTTAGGGTCTGATCAGTTTGGTGACCTCCAGGAAAATTATTGATTCAGGCAATATTATCAAATGGTGGGAATTGAAAATCATCAAGAGGGCTGTTATCAATCAGGAAGGAATTGGACAAAATTGTAACATATTCCCTCAGTGAAATAATAGGAAAATGCTTGATGAACTGGTAAAAGGGCTGCACTCAAGGAAACTGAGTGAAAGAGTTATATTGTGCAATTCCATTTATGTGAAGTACAAGAGCAGCGAAAGTCTTCAGTGGGCTGAGTGACTCGAGTGGTAGACAGCTCACCTAACAAGCCTGAAGTCCTGACTTTAAACTCTACAACTAAAAAAGAAAAAGTTCCAGCATAGGGTCAGGAAGGCAGTTCAGTGATAGGATGCTTGCTTGCTCAGTGGTACAGTATGTGAGACACTGGGTTCAAATCCCCAGCACTGGAAAACAAAATCTGCCCAAACAAAGCTGCTTACCCTAGTATGCTAGACACATGAACAATATATTTTAGCTTAAAATTGTGTGTGTGTGTGTGTGTGTGTGTGTGTGTGTGTGTGTTTTGTCAGTCATGGGGCTTGAACTCTGGGCCTGGGTACTACTATCCCCGAGCTCTTCAGCTTAAGGAGAGTGCTCTACCACTTGAGCCACAGCGTCACTTCTGGTTTTCTGGTGGTTTATTGGAGATAAGAGTCTTATGGACTTTCCTGTCTAGGCTCTCTTTGAACCAACATCCTCAGATCTCAGCCTCCTGAGTAGCTAGGAGCCACCAGCACCTGGCTTATGTATTTTTTTGAGAAAGGGCTCACTTTGCATCCCATGTCAACTCATATCTTTCTGCCTCTGTCTCTTAAGTGCTAAGATTACTGGCATATACCATCACAGCACCACAGCCAGCTTAACCAAGACTTTGATTAACCTTCAGTTGTCAGCAAATGTAAGCAGTTGGGGAATAGGCTTAATGGTGCCAGAAGCAACTGGATAAACCAGAAAGCTAGAACTTCTGTGACACAGCTAGCTCAGTCTCTCTTTCATAAGGGGATCTGCTTTAACTCCAAGTCAGGAGAATTAGTGACCAGGTACCACACAGGGGCAGGCTTAGATACTTGAATATTGTATCGTTCCAATTTCAGTTAGTATGATACAGCATCTGAGGCTGGGAGCGTTGCATGAACAGAAGGTTATGAAGCTCTCTGTTGTGGAAAGCCAAGAGCATTGCTCTGCTTAGTGAGGGAGAGCCTTCAGGCTACTTTACAAACTGGCAGAAGCACAGAGATGGAGCTTGTGTGGGAAAGGGAGGGATCACATGGTGAAACAGGAAGCCGGAGAGATTCTGGTAGGGACCATTGACAACTATTTTCTCCTGAGGACCACACTCCTCCTCCTCCCTTCAACAACAATCACCTTTCACTAGGCTCCACCTCTTAATGATTCTGCCACCCCAGTGCTCCTCCACAGGGACCAACTTCCAGCATGACTCTTTGAAGGACATACTCCCACTATATCCAAACCTTAACAAACAGAGATTAAGTTTTAAATGATGGTATCATTTTTAATGTGTAAGGGTATGATAATACTAATTTCTTCTGTAGAAAAACACTATTTTTAATTGGGAGGGCAGGCCAGACAGAATAGTGCTATGTTGCCCAGGCTGGCCTGAGTTGTAATTCTCCTGCCTGAGCCTCCTGAGTGCTGGGATTTATAGGCATTATACAATGAACCTAGGGAAGTGTTATTTTTTAAAAACATGCATATGGGGCTGGGAAGGTGGCTCAGTGGTAGGCTTGCATGAGGCCCTGGGTTCGATTCCTCAGCACCACATAAGCAAAAAGAAAAAAAGCTGGAAGTGGCGCTGTGGCTCAAGTGGTAGAGCGCTAGCCTTGAGCTGAAGAGCTGAGGGACAGCGCCCAGGCCCAAAGTTCAGAACCCACGACCGGACCCCCCCAAAAATAAATAAAACATACATATGGAAATAAGTTTTTCTGATCCATTTCTGATTTGGTGAATAACACAAACCCCTCAGATGTTTGCTTTTCTGCAAGTAGCCCTTTCAGCAGGAAGTAGATGTTTGTTAGACTTATACTGTGTCCAGCGCTTCACGTATTTTCTTAATTGCTGTGTCTTTTTCCTTATTATACCTATTTTTCATTTAAAAAGTAAAATATGTTAGGGGAGAATGATGGAAAGGGTGACACTGATCAAAATTGCATTGTAACCATAAACTGATACGTAGAATTAAAATCCCTTTGTATAACTAAAGATAATTTTGAAAATGATTTGTTTGTGGCTAGGAAGGTAGCTCAGTGGTAGAGCGCTTGCCTTGTATGCCTGAGGCCCTGGGTTCGATTCCTCAGCACCACATAAGCAAAAAGAAAAAAAGCTGGAAGTGGCGCTGTGGCTCAAGTGGTAGAGCGCTAGCCTTGAGCTGAAAAGCTGAGGGACAGTGCCCAGGCCCAGAGTTCAGGCCCCATGACTGGACCCCCCCTCAAAAAAAAAATGATTTGTTTTCCAGGAGCTGGTGGTTTATGCCTTATAGTCCTAGCTACTTAGTAGGTTGAAATCTGAGGATCATGGTTCAAAGCTGGCCTGGGCAGGAAAGTCCATGAGACTCTTATGTCCAGTTAACTACCAAAAAAAAAAAAAAAAAAAGCCAGAAGTAGAGCTGTGGCTCAAGTGGTAGAATACTAGTCTTGAGCAGAAAAGCTCAGGGACAGTGCTCAGGCCTGAGTTCAAGCCCCAGGACTCATTCTCTCTCTCTCTCTTTCTCTCTCTCTCACAAACACACACATATACAAATATGTTTATATATATTTAATGAAAACAGTTTAGATTAACAAATATGAATTGAATGAAAATTCTATCTAGATACCTTCTTTCCCAATTTCTCTCCCCCATAGCAGCTATTAAAGAGCAGACCATCTTTGCTTGCATAAGCATATCAGTGTCCTTGGCTTTTTAATACAAAGACAACCTACCATGTCTTCAGATGGAGATATGCAGATCTCAGCCTTTTGAATAGCTAGGGTTATGGGTCTGTACCACTGACACCTAGCCACTTCACACACACACACACACACACACACACACACACACACACTGTTCATATATATGTCTCTCTCTCTATATGAGACACTTCCCTATCTCCTGTATCAGATCCAAGGCCAACATCAATTGTCATTGTCCTTCTTGATCGCCATCTTTTTTTTTTTCTTTTTTTGCCAGTCCCAGGGCTTAAATTCAGGGCTTGGGCACTGTCCCTAAGCTTTTTTTTTTTGCTTAAGGCTAGCACTTACCACCTGAGTGACAGCACCACTTCTGGCTTTTTCTGTTTATGTGGTACTGAGGAATTGAGCCCAGGGCTTCATGCATACTAGACAAGTACTCTACCACTAAGCCAGATTCCCAGCCCTCAACACCTTTTCAAATGGTTCATTACTTGACTTTCTAGGCTACGTGCTCTCTTACTTCAAACCTCTTGTTGGCCCCTCTGTTCCTCCTCAACCTCTGACCACTTCAACCCTTCGGCTCCACCCTTGACCTTTACCCCTGCTCACATCCTGTGATCTCATCCAGTCTTGTGGCTCTCAGCAACATCTCTACAGTGACTGCTCCCGACTTTTATCTCCAGCCTGAGTCAGTTAACTACAGCCTGTTTTATCAAACTGTGTGCTTGATGTTTACATTGGTTATCTAGCAACTGTCTCATACCCAACCTGTCCAAGACAGAACTCCTAACTTGAGCTTGAGCTTCCCCCCCGCCAAAAGGTGTACCAAGTCTTACCTGTCTCAGCTGTGGACAACTTCTTTCCTTCCAGGTATGGAGGCCAGAATGCTCATATGCACACACTTCATTTCGCCCTGTGCCTCCTACAGCAAATGCCACTGGCTGTTCCTTCCAGCTCTCCCCATTGTCCATAGCCCTCACCACTTACTTGCTACCACCTGTGGTGGCTCTCTGGCTTACTACAGTAGCCCTCTAAGGAGTTCCTCCACCTCACCCCAGAGGTCTGCTTAATTTGCTTGTACACCTTGATCATACTTGTACTCAGATGTCACCTTTGTGTGGTCTACCCCTAATTCCCATCCAACCCTTCACTATAGGACCAGAGGCATGGCTCAAATGGTAGAGTGCCAGCCATGAGCACACAAGCTGAGCAAGAGTACACGGCCCTGAGTATAAGCCCCAGTAACAGAAAAAAACACACACAAAACCCCTCAAATCTTCACCATTAATCCCTCAAAAATGTTCTTTCTTCTACAGAGCTCAGAGAAAAGTGACTAGCCTGAGCTGAGACGAGCTGGACTAAGATCCCCAAGCCAAGTCTTTCTGAAGTCATACTGTTCCTCCTGTTCCACTGAGTGACACCAGTACACTGACCCTGCTTCTGTCCTCTTCACAAAACTGTTAAGACACGTGTGTGTGTGTGTGTGCGCGCACTTGCGAATGTGCGCGCATGAGTGAGCGCCTGCTAGTCCTGGGGCTTGAACTCAGAGCCTGGACACTGTCCCTGAACTTTATTGCTCAGGGTTAGCACTCTACCACTTGAGCAACAGCATCAGATATTTTTGTGCTTTATTGGAGATGAGAATCACACAGGCTTTTCTGCCTGGGCTGGCTTCTGTGATCCTCAGCTCTCAGCCACTGAGTAGCTAGAAGTACAGGCATGAGCCAGCCACCTGTACCTAGTATATAGACACCTATTCATACTCCCACATCCAATGCCAAAGTGTCAAATCCCTTAGCTAAGCAGATCAGAGTACCTGCTTCCTTTTCTTCATATTCTCATTGCATATTTCAAATCAATGGCCGTATTTTTTTTTCTGGGACCTCAGCCTCAGTTACCTCTGAACCCCAGTGCTCAGCAGATCTCTGCCATACTCTTGGCCCCTTGCTTTTGTTGAGTGAAAGGCTCCAGGTAGCCTCCTGTGTTACCCAGCGTCACAGCTCCCTGCTCCAAGCACACTGGAGCACTTGAAGACTCTGCCTGTGTAAGAAATTTTCTGTTAACTTCAACCAAAAAGTGTTTATTGTTGCCTCCTGACTTCTTTTTTCCTTCTTGGCTTCCATTTGCTTCATCAGCCCTGGGATGATGTTGCGCTATCTCCCCCAGAAACAGCATTTCTAAGGCACAGAGCTCATCTTAATGCTGTTACACCCTCATTCCCTCGTAGAGTCCAGTGGCCTAGGATGACAGCCTCTGGTTCACTGGAGAGCTCTGTCTCTGATGAACTGGCATCCTTTTTACACTCTACCCATTTTTTTTCCCATTAAAGAAAAAAAAATAAAGATGCGAATAAAAGATGGCAAAGAAGGGGACAGTCTGTAGTAGGAGAAAGACTGAGCCTCCCCTCTGACTAGAGGGGGAAAAAACAACCATAGAGAAAAGTGGGTATTTATAGCCAAGGAGTAGACTTGGGGACCTGTGCATGGAAAATTACCAAGTGGAAACCTCAGGACTCCCAGGATTCTGGCTCAGCTGACTAACAGGATTTTTACTGTAGGGAGGCCTTCCAGGATGATAGGATCCAAGGTGATGGGATACCATAGGTGGTGAACTTTCCTGGCTCAGCAGGATTCTCTATAAAACTGGCCTAAGAGGGCCAAGGACAGAGCCCAAGGTCAAGATCAAGAGGCAGAAAGACTCAGAGGAGCTTGACTCCAGCCTAATCAAGGACGTCTTTGTCATTTCCTAACACTTGGTCCTTTCATTTCTGCCCTCTCCCACCTCGAAATCTCAAAGCCGTCAAAAATCTCCCTTATTCCCTTAAGATCACCGTAAAGGTCTCCCTTGAAACTTTCTAAATGAGCCCTCGGGAACCCTGGGCCTGGGGAGGGACAAGGACGCCTCCCCATGCCTGGAGCTCTCTGAGGACAGGCATGCCGAGTCTGGCGTCCACTTCTAGCCCAGCATCCGCCTTAGGAAAGGCTCTTGCGGGGGATGCCCTGCTCATCCTTGCTGCCTCCAAGCCCCATCTCCTCCTCCCTGGGTCAGAGTGTGAGTCGGTGGTCATCTTCCCAGGCCAGGGCTGGCTCGCTTCCTTCACCGAGGAGAGGCGGTGTCGCCGGGCCGCGGCAGCGGCGACGGATTGCCTTGGGGGTGGGGTGGGGGCTCAGTCCCGCTGGGATCCGGAGGTGCTCCGAGGAACGAAGGTCAGCGGCCCCGCCACCCCCAAATGACAGTCACGATGTCCCCCCACTGCCCCCCTCCGCCCTTCTGGCGAGCCAAGCCACTCGGTAAGGGCCGCCTAAACGACACCCACCCAGCACGCTCCACCCGCGCCACAG